TGTGAGAGACCTATTAGGGATCTGCTTCATTAAAAGATGGGGAACAAGACGTTCATAAGGCACCAATAAATCCATTAAGGAGAAGAAGGCTCTGAAATGTCCTTTCATGATTCTTGTTATTAACTTCAAGGATTGCTGAGGTTGGTGAGTTTGCAAATATGGTTTTAGCTAGCGTTCATTGTCCCTTTTAACTCTATATTCTCTAGTCCAAAATAAGCATCCATAACTCTGCTCTAGTTAGCAGAGCAGCATCCACCTACCAGGGCTGAATTTGGAGAAAATGGGAGAAGAGGAAAAACCTGTGGAAAATCTCTCTCATGTTGTTACGAATCCTGCATGAACAGCTCTCCAAACCTAGGTGTTGACTACAGCTTTTAAGTTCCTCATAAAGTCACTGTAAGCTAGACCCTAGAAGGCCTTCTCATTTTCATAAATCAAAATTTCTGATGCTGGTAAATCCTGAAGAGGAATAGCAGTTTATTATGTATGGGGAGCATTTTGGTAAAACTGTCCTGAGCAATGGCAGACAAAAAGCCTAGGCAGCTGAAAAATGTTACTGTTGTCTGCTCAAATATTGACCAGCTGCATAGAAAATAGCATCTGATTTGTCAACAGCATGAAAAATAGCCACTGAGAAACCAGCACATTTCTCTGCATCCTAATGCTTCCAATTCCCAGAGATACCAAAGCGAATATCTAACATTTGACATTTCATGGAAGAAAAAAAATAGCTGTTTATATCAGGAGTTGAAGATTTCCTCACTAGGGAAATACAGACTGATCAGAATAAAGGATGCTTGAGCCTCGTTGATGTTTTCTCCTGAACGATGGTACTCTTTCCAAAAGTGATCCTGAGATACTCACTGCTGGTTTTACCAGTCTTCTGGAGCAAAACTTCCAGCTGGAAGCTGCATCCCAGAACACTCCCTAACTTTTCAGAGCTGCAGCAAGCATGACTGGACAAGACTCGGGCAGGGGCAAGTGTTCCTCTTTTACCTCTGTGCCTGCTTCTGTAGAAGAACAAACTTTCATCCAGCCTGAAAGACAGTCGAGAATGTCACCAGTCAGGACTTGGAGCCTCTTTTGTCAAACGTGCAGCTGCATCACAGCCATCACATGGGACTTGATAAATTTTTCATGCCAGAATTAATCAATTTCAGCAGACAATTTTGCTCACTGGTGTGCTTCCCACCTCCCCGGGGCACTTCATCTATTACGGATGAATGGGATGGGGATTTGTGGAAGTATTAATGGGATGGCTTTTCTCAGAGCCATCAAACTGTGCGCATGTGTGCCAGATTGGGAATTTTTGACAGTCTCCTGAGAAGTGTATGGAACTCCCCAGAGGGGAGCTCCTTCTCTGACTATACAGGCAATTACTTCTTTCCATGATTTTTTTGAGCTAATGATTTAACTGTGGCATGCATTGCTGTTACCATGCATAGAGATAGCTCAAGAAATGGAAATATGCTAATTACAAGAAGAATGACATAAAATGGGGGTTAATAAAATATACTATTTACCCTGTAAATACTAAAACAAGAACACTTAGGTGTGAGAGAGATTATTACAGTAGTCATAAATCAAAGCAGCACAACAGCAAAGGAAAGAAAAGGAGACATTTAGTTCTTACCTTATGTATATTATATGATATTTCCTCCTAGATTTTATAAACAGGTAAAGTATATTTAAAAAAATAGACCAACTATGCTTCTTATACATGATAAGCATGAAGATGAAATGGTAATCAAAAGAGTTTAAATCAAACTAAATTACATCTTTATTTATTCTTTTCCTTCAAGCGCTACTAACGTCATAAAAGTTTTCAGCTTGAAACACTGGTAGAAATGAAACATTCACAGTATCTTTTTCAGAGGCTGCAAACTTTATGCGTGGAATGATTTCTGCTCTGGAATGTCTGTAATATATTGAAGCCTTAATACCTTGCTAATTGGTTCGTTACTAATTAGCCCGTGACAAGAATTTTAATTAGATGCACAGTAGGTGTTCTCCCTACCTGCAGTCGAGAGGCTATTTCCTGGGGAGAAAAGTGGAGGGAAAAAGATAGTGGAAGGGATCAACAGAAGACAAATATAATCTAATCGCTACTACGGGAAGAGTGTACATCAATTACTATTTTTCAAAATTATGTCTCTGATAATTTATTCTGGTTTGTAAAGTACATTAAAGTTCACTTTGTGATTTACTCTTTTCTGTGAGGAACAAATTGTACGGCTTTTTTCTGTGACTTGACATATGTTTTAAGCAAAATGAAAAATAGTGGAACATGACTCTAGTCAATTGTGCTCATGGCCAGCCCCAGGGACTGAGCTGAACGCATCCCAGGCTCAAAGCATGAGTCTCTGTAATCTGAGTTAAAGAGCTGAGCTGTGTACCTGTGAGCAGGATCAAGGTGAACAAGGCTGAAAAGGGAGATGCCCATGACCAGTGACCTTAGCTGAGCCCAGGCTGTAGCACATTGTAGAATTAAAAACACATATGAAAAGCTTGGAAGACATAGTTGAATGAATTCCTATCAGTAGAGATTCAAAACTACCAATACTCATGAGCATCATCTTTAATTTTTATTCTACCAGGAAAAGATGCAAAGAAGTGATAGAAGATATCTATCTGAAAATACTGCCACTGCTAATATTCTCATGAGCTTAATGGCATATATCCCCTTGCAGAGGATTTTAGGATTGTCATTTGGGATGAAGGCTATTTTAAAATCTGCCAAATATCCAGTGCAGTGAGAGTCTTAAAAATATAAATACGAAGTTTCTTCCCTCTCCAAGGAAGCCTGAGTTGTGTGTGTATAAATATATTTATCAGGCCTGGTAATCCCCATAAGCTCCAGCAGTGAAAAGGGTGATTCAGTTTCAGTAGATAATGGGGCATTCTGAAAAATGATGATCAGATCCAAGGAACATTTTAAGGAGATATAAACATCAACAAAAGTAAGGGGAGGATGAATTGCACAAAAGGCGAAAACAATTAATGATTCTTACCCCACTGAAAGGAAACTTCAGGAATGGTCTCTCTGAAGGAAGTGAAGATCTTGCTGTACAATTTACATTATTTGAAAAATATTTTTTTTACTTAATTTTGACTGAGAAAATTCTTCTGTGTGGCGAATAAGGTCACAGGTGAGCCATGTTCCAGTGGATACACTGCAGATATTTGAAAGCAATAACTTTTTATTTTTAACATTTTTATCCAAGAGACAACATGAGGGAAGGGAGAATAAAGTTGCACCCCTTTTGTTTTTGATGAAGTTTGCAGCAGTCACTTGGAGACCAGTCCTTTGCCATTTATCATGGCAAAATTGTCTCCTACTGTGAGTTTGATTACAAACAGAAAGGAATGGGGAATTTGATCTGGAGTTAGTGGGATTTCATCATTTTTCATCTTTTATGGGCCGAAATTTAAGCCCGATCCAGGTACAAAAGATATTACTACTTGCTGTCTAATTAGGGTGTAGGTTGGGTGTGAGTCTTCCCTGACACCTCTAAGCTAGTGAGAAACCAACTACCTCCAGATCAGAGGCGGTGTGGCCACTTCTGTAAAGAACTATACTAAAAGTTCTTATCTCTGCAGAAAGGCAGGATATATTAGCTCAGGCTTAAAGCCATTCTACCCACGCCTGAATCACTCCTGGCCAAATTAGAGCATAAGGATGAACTTGAATATCCCTGCAAACAGGTTGCAGCCATACCCTTTGTCCGCTTCCTAGTGAGACTGCTGCTTGCATCACAAAATGTCCACCATAGATAGCACTTTAGCAGAGACTTTATCACTACTCTGAGAATTAAATACACTATTTGGAAAAGGCAGTTAAAAGATATCAACCCTTCATTTGAACAGTGCATTTTTGAAGGAAAAAAAACACCAACAACAAAACACCTCTTATGTGATCGCCTTTCTTTTTCTAAGAAATAAAAGGAAACTGGTTTTCTATCCTGAGTCCTTCAGTGGTGATAGACTTCAGCATCCAATACTTATATCCTTCCTGTTACATACATATGTGGGTTGGTTATGGGATACAGTGGAATATTTTGGATTGCAGGCCTCTCCAGAACATCTCCTTTATATCACAGGTGGCCCAGTGTGGTTTTAAACAGTCTAGTTGAGATAAGGTTGTAGATTACAATGCAGGTCAGAAGCCCTAACCAGCCTTGGCAGGGAGGAAAGGATATTGGTTTGCTGGAGTAATTACCCATAGGAAGTGGTGGTGCTGAGATTGGTTTCATTTTTTGAGTGCTGCTAAAGATGTTTATCTTCACTCTGAAGGCTTTAGTCTTTTATGGTTTGAATGCTGGCTGTAAAGGAAGCTGTCTCTTTTCTCTATGCTCTATCCAGAAGTAGCACTCTTCGAAATATTCTGAAGATTTTTATGTCTGAAAACTGAAGGAAAATATATTCCTTCTTCTGAGTCTTTTACTGGAACTCATTTAATTATGAGACATACTGTCTTGAATTTGAATGAATATTTGGAGTGTATTTGAGTAAATAGAGGGTACTATGTTGTGGAGTAGAGATTTACTTGCTGTTGTGTTATTTTTCTTTTTGTCTTCTCCACCCAGAATTGGCTAGAAAGGCATTTTCTAAACTATAAAATAATATCCGAATCTTTTATGATTTCTTATCTCTTACATAATTTAAACTGAAGATTCCTTATTTAAGAAAATCTAAAATGAATTTCAGAGCTTCTGTTATGTAAGTCAGTTAGTTACATCAAGCAGAAAAACTGAACATTGCCTTTGGGAGCGAGAGAGAGAGAAAAAACAAATGCTTGAAAGCAGAATCTAAGCAATGGAGAACAGTCTGAAGACCAGTTTCTCCACAAACCATGCCACAGAGAGGCTGACAAAAGGCACTGGGTTCATGTGGAGCACCAGTCAACCTCAAAGGTTCTCCAGGATTCATTACAGATGCTTATGTATGTTTGTTCAGTCTGGGAATAATACTCAATATTTTCACATGATTTTGTCTTTCAGAATGATTGAAGATTGTGGGAAAAGAGGAAATACCATGGCAGAAAGAAGGCAGCTGTTTGCAGAAATGCGTAAGTACTTCATAGAAATGTTTCACTGTGATAGACCAAGCCAGTTGCAAGCTTTCCACATCAAGTAACTGATAATCTCCATTTTGCAAATGGTTTAATGTCATGAGACCAAAGCTACAGGAAAATGGGCTGATTCCACAAATTAGCAGGAGAGGAATTTTCTACATCAGATTTTGTGATTGTATTATTTTAATCAGTAGCTTCTTGAGACAAATATGCTGCAATATGCAGGTAGCAATCAAGAGGGATAAAGGTCTCCAAAAGAAGACGTCTTTTAGTGGGGGTATCTGTAGTGGGTTGACTCCAGTCAGCTGCTAAGCACCCACACAACCTATTGCTTAGTCCCCAACCAGGCCCTAACCAACCATCCTCCAAGTGAGATGGCAGAGAATATAGGAAGAGCAGAAGCAAGAAAACTTGTGGCTTAAGATAAAGACAGTTGATTATGTGACAGAGAGAAAAAAAAATTAAAACAAAAACCGACGAGTGATGCAAAGGTGGTCACTCACCACCTCACAATAGCCAGTCTCTGAGCAATGTCCACCTTGGAAGACAAAACTCCCCAGACATTTCTTTCCCTGTTTATTGTTGAGTATGACATTATATGGTATGGACTAATCTTTTGCCCATGTGTCCTGGCTGTATGCCCCTCTCAACCTCTTGCCCATCCCCAGCTGACTCTGGGAGATGACAGAGTAGGAAACAAAAAGGCCTGGATGCTGCACAAGCACTGTTCAGCAAGAGCTAAACACTTTTTTAGCCACAAATCTAAAACACAGCACTGTGCAGGCTGCTATAAAGAAACTTAACTCCATCCCAGCTAGATGCAGTATGGGGATTCATATACTACATACCCCACTTCAGCACATTTTTTATAGTTTCTAGTGAAAGTTTGAGTTCCCTGCAGAATAGTGTGTCAGGGATGTACTATACTAACAATGTTCCTGCAGTTCTCTTGACAGTCATTTGTTATTTCTCTTACAAACAATCCACCATTTCTCAAGGAAATTCTATTATGTATGAAGTATGAGACTGTCACCCTGTTGCTAGATTTACCTAAATTTTGCCTGTTAATTACTATTATTTGTCCCCTGCAACATAGTAAAAAAATGACAGAACATCCCCCTGTCTACTGGGAGAGACTAAGATGAGCATTTCTGGGACCTCAGCAGCTGTGCACACTGTGTGCACACTGGCCAGCTCTGTGCTGGTGAATTAAATGTGCTTGGAACTGTTCTCCAAGGGTGAGCCCAGGGGTGACCGAATGTCCCACATCTGTACTCCTGAGCTCTCCAAATTAAGGGCTTCTCATTCAGGTGGCCTACTGAGAATGGTCTTGGCCCATTCCACTGTGTCCACTAGCTCTGTTGTGCCATGTAATTATTTCAGTATTATGGCTTGCTGTTGTAACTCAGGTGGATATTTCTCTTGTCCCCTGTGTACAACATATTGGACCAGTGGAGAGAGGGGTTGTTCTTTGGCCAGAAGAAAAAAAAACAAAAAACAAACAAACAAAAAAAAAAGGCAAAAAAGGGTGATGCATTTGTCCATTATAGGAACATCCAATACTTTTAATTAGAATTATAGAGAGGACTTGAGCTTATATAATATCAGCTAAAGTCAATAGCACAACTTCCATTAACTTCAGTTAGTTTGCAGTATTCCTAAAATGGAAGATAATTTCTTAAGACTTTGCTGTGAGGATTTATGGTTTCTTCCCACAGTTTTTAAGGCTAATTTGCTGTTGGGTTATTTTGGAGTTGTTAAGGAGGTGTTAGGAAAATTTACAATCAGCAGTTGGAGGCGGAGGAGGGACTATTTTTCCATACTATACACAAATAGTTATTGTCTACTATTTTTTGTTTCACGTTTTAGTCCTTTGACATATTTAGTTGAGTCTGGTTTATCTCACATGTACTTCCTATTTCTATTTGCCTGCCTCCCTCCCTCCTCCTACTACACATGCACACAGAGAACTGGGTTCCAACTAGGTAAAAAGAGGGGAAAATATTAGTAAAAATCTAAGTATGTTTTAGGCAAAGAAATATCCATATTCATAAAACACCAAATTTTGCATTTTGGGAGTCCCTTGGATTCCTGAGTGTGTAAAGGGTGTGCTTCATTGAAACAGGAGCTCAACGTGCCCTTGTATTCAGTTGCTCTCAGCTGTGTGCAAGCCCACAAATCCATGCTTAACACAAACCAAGTGCTCCACAAATGCTACATACTGTGGGCAATGCGAGCCTTCTTAACATTGTAACAGACGTTAAGTTTCTGGTAAAAAGTTAAACTCCACAACCTGCTGATGTTAGAAGAAGAAAATTCCTATTATAGGGAACTTTGCCAGTGGTTTATGTTCTTGTAGTCATATCTGCAAGTCTGTGATTAAAATCACAGAATCAAAGAATCTCACAATACTTCTAGAGAGAGAGTCATGTTCCAGGCTACACAAGACAGCAAAAAAAAATTCCAACTTTTCCTGACTTTTTAAGTAGGAAATTTGTCCTGAACAAGGAATGGATAGATGGACTCTTACTTTAGATTTGAGCTACTATGTGATATTCCCTGTATTTAAAGAAGCTTAGTTTGACTTTTTTGTTCCCTTCCCTTCAGAAGAGGCATCTTTCTAGTCCTAAATTACAAACTTCTGTCAATTAGTATTATAATCAATATCACCTTCTGTAGAGTCCTGTGGTTAAAGCTTAGATTGTGTCTTACATCTCAGAATGCACCACTGGATGTCAAATCACTAGATTACACTTGGTTTTACCCGACATTCTCAGGTATATTTAGACTGATGAAGAGATGTCAAAATGTGAATACATCACTCTTGTGCTGCCAGCACATGCTACCCTGCAGGAAAGCAGCAGACAAAGCTTTCAATGTATCCCTTTATTGTTTTTGCAAACTGCAAATAGTGTTACATGTGATGAGCATATTCAAAAGAAACAGAGTGAAACACTGCCAGAGGCCAAAAGGAAGGAGAGGCCACTAGCAATCCTGTAGGCAAGTTACAAATTCACAGTCTTATTTGTCATGCTCAGTCCTGTGCATCTTTCCACTTGTTTTTCAGGACTCTCCATGTAAGTGAAGTCACTTTTCCACAGAAGTTATTTGACAAATAGATCTCTGAATGTGGTAAAATGTGAATCGTGATAAAATTAAATTGTCTGTTCCAGGGATCTATCAGCAAAACACCCACTCCCAAAAGAATATCAAAATAATACCATCCACTGTGTGAGTAAATAGTGAAGAAACAAGGAGACATTATTGCCTACAAATTTATTTATTTTAATATTAATATTGCAACCTAGGAAGCTCACTGAGCCAATCTCACTTTGCTTTGAATCTTTACATCTTGTTGAAAGGCTGACTTTCTGTAAGGTATCACTGGAAGCTTTTATGAGGAGCTTTCACTAAAGAGGGAAAAAGTTAAATTCATCTTACTCATTGGTCCTATTAAAAAAGGAAAAACTTTGTGTTATAAGTATTAGCCTCCCTTTTACCAGTAACGTTTTCCAAAAGCTGTCAATGGGATACTAATGGATAAGAGGAAAACCTCTGTAATTTAACAATAAAGCATGTGATGAAAAAAATTAAAAAAACTTTCCAGACCTGTTGTTAAGTAGTTAAGAACAGCTTCTCCCAGGATTAGATGGTGTTAAGACAGCAAACTGGCAAAAGGGAGTAGCTGGAAGCCCTGGAAAGATGGTGTGAGAGAATCTGGTCAAGAAAAGAGCTGAATCTGGGGACAGAGGAGAGTATCGTTTTCATTTTCATCTCACAGGTTAAAGCACATTTGAAAAATTTGGGTCTAAAGGATGACATATTGTTTAAGAAACTGTGGGTGAACAATGCTGACATGGCCATGTGTACAACAGTGCAGCTGAGCAGCCAATCTAGTAAAGTCAAGATGAATCTTAAAGAAAGCATTCAGGATGCATGTGTAAAAGCAGAATAGGGCCATATTCCAGTCCACTTCTCTTACAGCCTGACTGTACCTTGTTTGAATGTGTTTCGTGTGGACTGTTCTGTAAGAAACTCTGTTTTTTGTAACTTGGTACCTTGCTCAACTGAACAGAACAAGGTTTTACTCCTGTTGCAAGGATAACCACAGTGAAAAAGCAAATACACAAAAATTTAATTTTTTTTCTGTGAAATGTGTGATAAATTTAATAAGCAGTCTTGATTTCATTGGCCATATTGTAGCTATGAGGCAACACTTCTTTGTGTAAGACATACCAGCCAAGAAGGAGAGAGATGTAAATCACAATCTTCTCATCTTCTTTTTGAGGATTTTGGGAAGTGTTGTGAGTGGTACACAGCAGCAGGAGACCTAAAGACACTGTGCCAGGTTCTGCCCCCATCCTGGTCCCTCTGTACTGCACTTGTATTTGCAGTCAGTTTATACCCATCTCCTGTACAGCTGCTTTGGAAATGTTGCCAGATCTTTTAAGTTGCAGCAGCCAGGGCCATGCTATGTGTGAAGCAGAGACCTGACCCTTATTGGTCTCCATGGCAGAGAACACACCTCTGTAAAGTGGAGAAAGGCCTCCCGACCTTTGCATTATCTTTGCCCCCTTCTGCAGATTGGTATCAGTCTTTTTGTTATGGCACAGTATTTTTTCTAATTTGGTTTGCTGGCAATACTTTTTTCTGATCCAGCATGTCAGCCAAAGATATTTGTTGCGAGCTTTTTTGTTATGTATTAAAATTAGATCGAGGTTTTCCTTGCTGTTGGAGCCTGGCCAGTGTGTCTTTTAGCCTGCAGCTTGACCAGATTGTTCTTCAAAGTGATAGACACAGTGGGCTGACTATTCCTTGCCTTCCTTTATAAGAGTCTTTTAACACTGTAGCTCCTGCCATTCCCCTTCTTTCTCCTCGCCCCTCTCTATTCTCCCTGCAAAGGAGAGAGCCTTGAAAATTATTAAACAGACTTAGCTCATGTGTCCTCTTTGTTCTCTGGCTTCCCTGCTAGCAAAGATACGCACAGGTCATATTCCATACAAATGTGGCTGTTATTTTCTTCCACTAGGGGCTCAAGATCTGGATCGCATTCGTTTGTCCACCTACCGAACAGCATGCAAGCTTAGATTTGTTCAGAAGAAATGCAACTGTAAGTATGTCAGCTCTTCTTTCGTATAGCATTGTTACTAGCTTTCTATTGTACTCCCCAGTCTGTCTTTCATATCAGTCACAAACCAGGACTATTTGATCCATATCCACTGCGAAGGACACTAGTCAGAGTGCCTGGGCAGATTTTAAATATTAACCTGTTTATGTAAGGAGCTTGTCTCAAACATGCCAGTGGTTCAGTCATAGAAGGATGGGTTGTGATGCTGGCCACAGCTTTAATTAATAAGTATGTTAACTACTTTTTCCAGTTTTCTTGTAAAATAAATTTGTGGGTTCCTGCAAGATCCTGCAAATTAAGTGCTTTTATAGCAACTGCATGAGGAGAAATGCTGTGTCCAGTCCTCATCTATTTGGGGTGCAGCAAAGTGCGTGCAGTGTCAGGCAGCCCCCTTTTTTCCAGAGGGCCAGATAGAAACATCTCTTCTGAGAGAGTGAAAGTGCTTCTAATCTCTACATGTCCGTCTTCCTCCATCTAGGCTTTGTTCTTGAGAAGTTTCCCACTTGATTAGTGACTTTTTAAATGCTTCTTCTGAGATTCAGTGTTTCTTCCTTTACAGCTGCAGTTTCAATTAGCACAGTCATGTGCTATGAACTTTAAAGGGGAAATACATAAAAAATCTGTAATGGGATGTATCCTTTCTTCTCTATCCAAAATAGTATGCAAATACTTAGAATGGCGAGTTTTGGTTTATGCGTTTTACCAGACCTCTCCACAACAAGTCACAAAAAAAAAATATCCAGGGAACTCTTGTCAGCAGTAGCAATAGGGAGAGGACTGATGCAGAGAAAAAGTAGGTTTTTTACTCTTCATATCTAAACTAGAATGACAGCATCGGTGCTCTTGAGCTACACACAGTGGTAAGTATGTTAAGAAATGCTCACTGCAGATAGAAATTAACTGCCCTGGTGAGTGTTCCTAGTTTTGAGATTACATCTATCTGTGTTATGGAAATGTTTCGCTTATGCCATCCGAACATACTGGAGAGGCCAAGTTGTGGTAGAAAAGACTTTGAAGAATATTTATTGGATTATTAGCTATGGAACTGGTCGTTCAGTCGCTTCTGCAGCACGTTTCTCATGTTTTAATATGTGTTTAGCTGAAGTATGGATTGAAGGATTAAGTATCACATTATAAGCAGGCTGCCAGACACAAAACCCAGGAGGGGTTTAGTACCTGCCCAGCAGCTGGCTTCTCCCATTGAGGAGGAAATGCGTTGAAAGACATTATTATATTGCATTCATTTGTTTATTCTATTTTTTAAAATTGTATGTTTAAGTGGATTAAATTTTCACTTAATTTTCATGGTAACGGAACACGTAGTCTGAGGTGACAAGACTATCCAATTAAGCTGACAGTGATAGCAAAGTCATAACACTAATTGCTTCAATAACTATACAAAGCAAGTGAATAAAAACCTATGGATGCAGTAGCCTCATTGTTGGGAGTGGCTGGCTGCCTAAAAATATTGGTTGTTAATCTTAACTTTGTTCCTCTTATTTAGCAATGGTGATCTGCTTTTGTGGAACTATTGTTTCTCTTCATAGAGAACCAATACACATGCCTTGCAGTTTGCCAGCTTGTGACAAGTCACTTACAGATAGTGCTTGTCTTCTGGTTGCCATTGATAACCTAGGAGAAGTGATTACTGCCCTTATATCAAGACTTACACTGTATCAACCTCTGAAGAAAAAAAAAAAAAAAAAAAAAAAAAAAAAAAAAAAAAAAGGAGGGACTTAAAATGTTGTCCTAAGAATTAGATTCTGTGCAACTTAAGAAATAATGCTTGTTGCTTTGGAGTGGGCTGAATTGTGTGCGTCATTTCACCATCAAGTACAGTTTTCTTCTGGTTGTTTCTGGTAGACTGCTGCTCTCCCAGATGGTTCTCTTATTAGTGGGAGAAGAAGCCATTCATTCACCTGATGTGAATTCAAGCAACGGCTGTCCAAGGCAGAGCTTCTACACATAGATCCACTGAACTGAGCACTGCCTGAAATGGTTAATATCAGACCTCCAGCTCATGTCAGCTATTCTTCTTTTCTTTTCTTTTTTTTTTTTTTTTTCTGTACAGAAATTGCCATTATGCACCACCTAATAGTAAGTTCAGGAGAAAAAGAAAAAAAAGGGACATGGGAAAAAAAACATTTCTGCTGCATCTGAGCTGTTTCATTTAAGGGGGAATATTAAAAGAAAAAGCTCAAAGGCAGTTCTGCTCCACTCCCTGTGCATAGCACCTCCTGTCACTCAAGCCATTCTTGTCTTCTTTTAGCTGTGCTCTCCTGCCCTGCCCTGGCACACCAGCCCAGACTTACTAGGAAAAAATTGCTTGGAAAGAGTGTATTTATAGGGTTCTTTTAAAGAGCTAATTTAATAAATTGCAGGGAGCTGCTCTCGGCTACAGGCTGAAGGTGTATGAGGATAAAAGCAGAGAGCTGCTTTGAGTGCCAGAAGTGGCTGTTCCAAGGAAAGCAGAGCAGAGGTTTTATTAAGATCATCTCTTTTACCCAAAGGTGCCCATTAGCATAGACAGTCACAGGATATCATTTAGGAGGCAGCTATGCTTATCATAAACAATACACTGTTTGTTTCTGCTGTCTTTAATGCAGACACAGCCACAGGTTCATCTCCTGGCCTCCCTTTGTGAATTCTTCTCGGTACAAAAGGCTGCTTTGCTGAAACCTTCAGCAGCTGGCTGGGTTTTACTGGTGAAGTAGGCAGTGTGCAATGGGCAAAAGTCCCTTCGTATTCTAAAAGCCATTCTCTCTTGCAGCATTTCTCCTGAGAATAGTTAAACTGTCTGGCCAGAGATTATAGAAGAGGTGACAGTTTACCACCATTTACCAGAATACCACTGCATATGTTCCACTTTGAGTACTAACACAGTTGATCACATTATTTGTTCCATGGAATTATTTCATTTTTGGAAAACTACTTTTAAGATATTTAGCAAACAGTCTTCAAAATTGCAAATATATGTCTTTCTGATAATTCTATAAAGCTTTAGGAAACTACTATGCATGTGAAAAGCATTTATTTTATAAAAATCTCTCTGAGCATTTAAACCAACAGGCAGTTTAAATAAAATCAGAAAAGTGAGAAAAATCAATATCATCATTGCAATTATTTGTCAAACAGGATAGAAATGAATCCAGTCCAGCTTCATTCTTCAGAAAAGCAAGAAATACTTAAGAAATCAGAAAATGATAAGTAGATAAATTTGAAAAAGCTCTAATATTATCTTTCAAAGAAAAATCCGTGCAAATTTAAGCATTCCTCTTCGCCTGTGTTAATGCTACAAATAAATAACAATAACATTTGCAAATTATTGTTGACACACCTCTGAATCTGCTACGTGTCCGAACATGGGATGCAATATGCAAGCGAAATCCCAAAAGCAAGAGACCCACATAATTCTACATGCAGAAATCCTGAAAACTGGGAAGCTTTATTAGCGCACCATGAATATAAACTCATTTTATGCTTCTCTATTTCTGCTAACAATTTCTAAAATTGGAAGTAGTGAAAAGAGAAACTCTGTAGGTAATGTAGGTACCTTTGAGGATGTGATGGGTATATAAAGAGATGATTGCAGGCTACTTGCTTATTACTTTGCAGAACTCCTGTAGCAATAGACCTGTTGCAGTAGCAGTAGTCTTCTCTTAGTTATAAATACTAACACAAGATGTAGACACTTCTGTAAAAAAAAAGGAAAAAAAAGGAAGTCTTGAGAAGATCTTGAGATTTGGGCATGAACAATCCCAAATGAATGCCAAGAGTCTTGGACAGACAGAACCAGGAGAAAACACTGCTGGTGGTTATGTCATCTTCACATCTCAGAATGTGGAAGCTGACTGCGGCTGCTCTACTGGATCACGGTGTGGAATGTAGTCTTGGAAATAGCAGCATGCTAATAATTTGTTGTTCAATTTCATTATTTGGGATAATAAAAGCAGATAGGAAGCAGGTGCAGAAAGCTGATTAAACATGCTGCTACATGTTTATTCCAGTCTGTACTGTACAAAAAGTACAAAATGTGAATAGCTGACTTCATCATCTAAATTTTCTAAATGTGCTTTAAAGGTGGCCCTAAATAGTGCACACTGTAAGAATCAAGGAGGGAAATGGAAAAACTACGGGTGAGCATTGTGAGGTCTGCAACAGTCGCAGAACTTGAAAAACTACTAAACCTATTACTCTGACAAAGTCAAACATTAGGGTATCATCCTTAACTTCACCTCCAGTCCATCAGAGCAGGTTTTTGGAGCACCTGATATACATTCTCACCATATAGACCCCTGCTCAGCTTCCCTCACCACCAGGAAAATGCCATATTGATGAGGTTGATTTACAGCTGTTTATCCATAGCATTCAGACACAGAAGCATAATAGGCTTTCCTAAAACAAGGCATGAGGGACCAATGACAGCAGTGATACATATCCCTCACCATTCACCAGTATTCATGAAACACCAAAAAGCACAATTTCCCAGTGATCATTGTGCAGTTGGTTTATTTTAATGTTGTTTTTCACTGAATTTATTAACAAGCTGAAATGAAATATCATGTTCACATGCAAATTCCCTCTGGGCTATGGTGGCAACAGGAATAGAACATAACAATGTATTGTAATCAAAACCATTATACCATTAAACATTACTCACTAATACAGAAATGTACAGCTACTGCTATCCTTGATGAACTTTCATGAATGGTTGTGACATTATTTTATGACTCTGGCTGCAAAAAGCAGATTTTGCTGATTTCCCTAGATCGGAATAAATCATTGACAGTTGAAAGTTTGAACCTAAAGCTGTGCTGGTGATAGTAATACATGGCTTAACTAATGCAGACAAAAAGAGAGCTTGTTTCTCTGGCAGTTTAATCCCAACACCTCAGGGTTTCAGTGTCTTTGTTTCTCCCTTCAGTATTCTTCTGTGTGAGTGATTTATTTTTTTTTTCATTGTTTTGTCTTATCCAAGTTGT